AATAAATAGAACGTAAAATAAATATAACTATTAAATGGAAAACAATAACGGACTATTGAAGAGCTTTTTCAAACTGAAAACTAAACTAAAAGTGATTACTTTTTATGAAATTTTTAGAAATTTTGAACACACTCAATTATTCACTTCCCGGTTACCTTATACACACATGGTATATAGAGAGCGAGAATATGGAGTAAACGACACAGGTAAATAAGGACACCGTCTGTATTGTAAAATTATGCTTATTTTTTAACCATTAAGTGAAGGTTTTTAGCTGGCCAAAAGATAAAATAAAAATATATTCATATATACTTGTAGTGTACTAATATTATAATCAATTTTCAACTATTGAAATGGAAACAAAGGTGCATGTAAGAACTAATACAATTTTACAACAATGTACACATTTAATGGCGCGATTATGTTAAGTAGATTTAGTATTATTTTGTTTTCAAAAAAAGAACGGAAATGTAAAAAAAAATTAAAAAAAAATGCACATGGCAAAATGATTTTGATTGACATTAATTTTTCAGGTTAAAACACTTAAATTTTTCCGAAGCACATTGGGTACCCAAAAGTAAAACATGCAAGAAAGCCTCGAGATATAAAATTTAAGAAACGAAAACGTAAATTTTCCAACACACAATCTTGTTATTTACATATTATTTACAATCGAATAGCATTAGAAAAACAGAGAAAGGAAAGGAAATTACACACCCATCTATTTATCAGTGTAGATTTCAATAAATTTAAATGGGAAACAAGTTATGCAGATCAAACAGCTTCTTGGGCATCCCAAATCAAGTAATGCTGATCATTTTGAGCATCTCCCACGTGTCGCCATTGAAAATTCTTGACGAGCAGTATCAGAAACACCAAAAACATCGCAAATATTCTAAGATTGCTGCTTCCCAACAGGCCAACCAGTGCAACGTTAACGTAACGATGGCCTCCAACAGAGAGGAATGAATGGTCGGGGCGTAGCAGACTGATCAGACAAACCGCATCAACGTCCATGGCAACGACCGTCACCAATACCGCAACCTCGTCCGACCCATTACGATGATTGTGTCCGATTGCCAACATCAGACAAGACACAACAACAAGAACCACCACTTCTCCGAGAGATCTTAACACGTAATGGTGGGGACCCACACTGCAGAATCTGAAGAACAAAATGAAGATCAGACAGAGTGTGTGCCCTACTAATGCGGCCACAAAGAAAGCTGGAGAAGATAATCACTTGATTTGTAGAACTCGGTCTGTGTGAAGCTTCCAAAAGCCAACAAGGAGCTTATGAGGCTGATGACGAACAAAAATATACGCATTGGGGTCAGGTAAGGATACACATTTTGACCAAACCATATTTGAAATAATAGGACTGGAGAGTTCATAATAATGCTAGAATTAGAATCATTTGACGTCCACATGCGTGACCAGACGTCTCCAAAAGTGACCTTGTGGCAGCCGTTTTGGGAAGTTTGGCTACTTTTCACTTGGTCATCAAGAGGCTGCTGCGATTGGGGGTTTGAGGGGGCTGACATAATGGAAAGAGATATATGGGAGGATGTAAATGAGCGTTTGGTGTGCAGAGTTGAGATTGTTGGGATTTTGGCTCACACCGAGGATCCATTGTATATATAGTTAATTTCATGAATAACCGAGAAAGGCAAAGAATAAATAAATTATTCCAACTTTTTTCTCAGAGAAAAGGAATAGATTATTCAAGTTTTCTGCAAGAAAAAAGAACGAATTATTCCGGCTTGACTCATGGGTAAAAGTTGTCCAAGAAAGTAATATAATATTCCCTTTCTATATGTATATATCCGCCGCAGTAGGAAATTTCACTGTTGATTCACAACATCATCCACCTTCTTTTTGCTTAGCATGTGTATGTATATTATCACTGAAAGAGGGGAAAAGTACAACAACCGAGGATAGGCATCATCATCAATATGATTATGATTATATATAAATAGAAAACAGTGAGCCACCGTAAAATTAGAAAGTCCCATGCAAAGCTCACGAAACAAAAGAGATATGACAGACAGAATATGCTCATTTGGAATTCCAACACCACTTGAAAGGGCATTCTCAAAAATAGCACATGTTGATTTCAATGCACTGCTTTCGAAACTCTTCTGACTCCTGCCATAGGCTATTTGATCTGTATCACTTAGGGGGTGTTTAGGTAAGATTAAAACCATAGTTTCAGAAGTGCTTTTACGGTATACGAAATAAATATGTAGAGGAATTTTTCTCGATTTGCGAAAAAGTGCTTCTGAAAAGTGATTCTGGGGTTACCCAAATACCCCCTTAATAAGCTAAGCGGGCCCAGATGAGGCTTCAGCACATCCTTCAAATACTTAAACCCTGTGATGCATTGCTTGCCTCAGAAGTTAGAAGACCTAACTTCAACACTGACAGCTTGAATCAGAACATTACATACATGAAAGGACACAAAGAAGCACATAGGTAGATACAAGATGTAACAATCGAATGATTAGACTTAGAAAGTATATGACAACATGAATCCCCACTAACATTCTATATATAATCATTTGTTAAACAGAAGAACACCTTTAGATCATGCATGAAGCCTATTGATAGGTGAACTCAGCAAGAGTTAGATAGAAGTTAGATTTTTTGACAGTGTTCTCACAGTTTAGCATTTGTCGTTTAGAAGGTCTTCCTCAACACTTCAAGCAGAAAGGCTTTTGCTTGAGTGGCATGTCAGAGATATTAACTAAGCTATTCTTAGGTCTTCTCAGACACCATAAGCTTTTGGGATAGTTGGTAGCTTGCCAGAATGAAAAATCTTAGTTTAAATGACACAGAGAAGCAACTGATTTGAATCAAAAGGTAATTATTCATTTTTCTTGAACAAAAACAAATAAGAAATAGTAGAAGTATTGCAGCTGTTTAGCGTTACCGTGCTAGTGATATTTGAATGACAGGTATAGTGAAGTAAACTAAATAAGGCAACCTAGGATGTTTTCAATGACAGAATAACAACATTCCTGCAAATCAAGTAATTCTAGAATGCAATAATGCAAGTAAAATAAAAGTTAAAATAGACAAAAGCTACTGCAAGTGCCTAGTAATAGCTTCAGTAATTTTAAGAACATGCCTTGTAAGTGCCGAGAACTGGGAATCAATTAATTTATGTATTTCCGAAAGCACTTTTGCACGGTTACACGTCAATACCGGGATTAACCGCCAAGGGGGATGTGCACGACGCTTATGGGCGGTGAAAGAGCCGATGTCTCAAATGAGGAGAGAACAAAAAGTGGATCGAGTGTTGAGTTTTGCAGTGAGACTGTGGAACATATGCACGAAATCACTTTCCCTCTCCACGACCTCGAACAACACTTCAACAGCATCACTCGCCCTTGCGGGAGCCATTCCAGCGGGTTGCACCAGAGGAAGGTCGATAGCCAAGAAGAATGCGGAAACTGCCGTTGGGTCCAAGGACTCGGACGAAGACGCAGTATCAAGTGCAGAAATATGGCGGCAAAATAAGCCGGCGGTGAGATTGGAACGCATGGCTGCGGCGGTTGGCTTAACGGTCCAGGAGTTGCTTGAATAATTCTGCGTTCTTCTTCCACGAGGAACAGATTTTCACTTTATTTGCCACGCTGTCGATGATTTTCAATTCCTGCCGTCCTGCAGTTTGAAGAAGAAAGAGAGCCGAGAGAGGCAATTTTTTTTTTTTTAAATGAAGCACGGTGCCGCAGACCAGTGATGGATTAGCCCTCCCCCCCCCCACAAAAAAAAAAAAAAACTATATCTAACCAAACATTAATTTGGCAAGTTGAAGGTCCCCGCATCTATCCAGGGGCAAAAAAAAAAAAAAAGAGTCCCTATTTCACGGGTTCGTGTGAAATTGACAGGTGTAAAAAAAAAAAGTAATTTTATCGTGAACCCCTATTAAATTTTTGAAATAATAGCAAAAAAAGACCATTAAAATAAAAAAATTGCATACAAAGACCGATTTGTAAAAATTGTTATCAAAATCATACTAATATTGTTATGGATTCTTATTTATAATTTTTTTTATTTCGACAGTTTTTTTTGTCATTTTTTTATATTTTTTAAACTTTTTCCAGCTCACATCTAATCACTCTAAGCATTAATTGAGCAAGTTGAACATTCTTGTTTTATCCCTATCACCAAAAAAAAAAAAAAGTTTCCCATTTTATGTTGTCAAAAAGCAAAAGTTCTACCTATTTTGTGCGTTCATGAAGTAATTATTTTTTCTGACAGCGATCAATTTCACATGAACCCATAAATATGCTTTATTTTACAACACAATAGGAAACTTTAACTTGCCTATTTAACGCCCGGAGTAATTAGGTGTAAATTGGGCCAGCAATACGAAGACTTTTTCTGGTTTTGTCAAAAACAAGCTGTGGGTTTCTTCATAAGCCCAATAGAAAGCTTGAACCCTCTCCGCCTTATCCCAATGCCCAGGTTCATGTTGAATCGGAAGAGATTAAAATCACCATTAGGTTATAAAATGATCACTACGCATAAAGGTCAGACGGGAAGGTTTTCATGGGAAAAAGTGTGGAGGCTGCCGATCCTAGAGAAAGTTAAATTCTTTATGTGGCAGCTTCTCCTAGAGAGGCTTCCTACAACCCTTCTAAAAGCTAACAGAGAAATCATATAAAATAATCAACGTCCCTTTGAGTGTCAAAGAGAGAACGATTATTCACATACTTCGTGATTGTGAAATAGCACGAGATGTCTGGGAACAAATTGTTAAACCTAACAGTAGATTTAGTTTTTTCTCTTATGACTTGTAAGTTTGGCTTAAAAGGAACATGACCCAAAGCTTAGGGACCCCACGGTTTACAAGGTAACCTTGGATTAAAGTCTTTTGTACCATATGTTGGCTTATATGGAAAAACCAATGTTGCAAGGTCATGGAAGGTAGACAAGTGGAAGCAAAAGAATTTTTCCATAAAACCATCTTCCACCTCATGGAAGACAACACGATGGGGAAATACAAACATCAAGTTTTCAGCTTTAGTGATCAAGAGGAAATTGTTTGGGAAACACCACCACTAGGTTACTTCAGACTAGACATTGACGCATCTGTAAACAATGAGCAGAAAGCAACAAGTGGAGGTATAATTCGAGATTCTCACGGACAGTGCATAGTTGGATACCAATGCAAACTGGGATATGCACATAGCACCACTGCAGAACTTCTCGTTTTAATACAAGGTCTCCAGTGCTGTCGGCAATATGGACTAGAGAGAGTAATAGTATATACAGATTCTATGGAGGTCTATAATCTAATCATGAGAGATGGAGACTCGAGCCACCCACTCAGAGAGGAAATCAATGTGGCTCGTAGCATGATCTTCTCGGAGTGGGAGCTGCAACTCAAATACACATCTAGAGACACAATCAGGTATGCAAACTGACTAGCAAAAATCACACATGATATGGCGGACAACCTCGTGATTTGGATGACCCCTCATCCAGAATGTGTGACCCTTTTGGAGGAGGAGGGGCCTTCGATTAGCCCACAGAGACTTCTTTTTCTGAGCCCATGCTTGGCCCTATGTTAAAAAAAAAAAATCACCATTAGGTCATCCATAATTTTTTTGTGGAAAACAATTCTATTTTATTCAAAAGAGATCCTTTTAGGGAATCTTAACTGCAATAAAGTGAGAATTATTTTCTTAACTGCACATGCTAGTTTAAAAGGAAAAACCAGAGAATGTGAAGTAAACTTTAGAAAGGAGCACCCCTCTCAAATGTCAGTTTGGTCATTTCAATTAGAAAGTTTAAAAATAAAATAGAATAAATATAATCTCAGCAAGGGATGTGTCACTGCCTTGACAAGTCTTCGTCAGAGAAAACTATAGCTACAGTGAAAGGGTCGGAAAACAAGAACAAATATGAAAATGAAACATGTAATTTTACTTTTTTTATAAAAAAACTTTATCAATCCTCACTTTTGTAAAAGGTACCAATGGGATTTAAATAAGTACAAGATGACGCACGAGGCTAGGGAATGGGTAGGGCAGTGTTGTTGCAATGAGTGAGAGCAAAAGCAGAAACGCCACGATCACACATGATCTTCACTCTCAAAAGCTGCCGCCTTTTATCAAAACCCTTCAGGCAAAAATTGATTGATCATGGAGAGATTACGATGTTCAGCCGCCAGAAGTCTGCTCACCACGGAATCTTCAAAACAATTTATAATGTTCATAATTCGTGAACTTGAATTCATTGTATTTTTTATATTTTATATCTGCGTGATTATTCTTCATGTAGCGTATGTGCATTAATTCTAATGACATGATCATAATTTGTTTAATTTCAAAAGATGAGTGAAGTACGTGATAGAATTGAAGGAGGCCATACCACCGTGCCAGATTGAGTTCAAGCGTCGGTGTTTATTGGTTTGTCCATGTTCCCATAAACATGCCACTTTTACACAATAATCACAACGATGAATAAACGTTTGACCCTTTTCCATGAATTAAGTTAACTGAACCTGACATTATGTATAGTTTTAATTATTACTTTCGGTTTTTAATATAAGAGCTAATTGATTAATTTGAGTAAATTAAGAAAGTTTGTTGGCCACTTATGAGTAATAATTATGTATTATCTTTTCTAAAATATTTTTATTAATTATGTATTAGCTAAAACTATCACTTGGTTGAACTTTTAATATATGCACCCATTATAATGATTGTTTTAAAAAAAATAAATAAATATAAGAAACAAAGTAGATTGAAATTTTATATTTAGAATCAAATTAAAAATTAAATTAGTTTTTATATTAAAGACTGAAGTGTATAATTTTTCTCAGCCTTCTAAGCGCTAATCCCGCTACTCCGTTTGTTACAAGCTCTAGCTTAATGATGATAGCAGGAACGGGAGTTTTGATATGATAATTATTGATAGAATTTTCAACCTTAAAAAGGCGGGGGGGGGGACATCCCGAGAGAATTTCCTGAAGTTCCATACATTTTATTTCATTCTTGTCAACCATCAAGCGAGGAAAGTCAATATATTGAGACTTCCATGGACTTAAATATCACTATAAACGGCTGAGACATCAGAATTTTCTCCATATTTCAATTTTAAAAAAAAAACCAACAATAATGAAGCGAGAGGACATGAAGATGGATGGTTTCAACCAAGCTATACAGCCGCCAAAGAAAACTAATTACAGTGTACTATTAGCGGGTCTTATGTTCCTGAAAATATTTTTTTTTCACCTTCAGAAAATATTTATTTTTGAATCATTGAAACAATACGAATTGTATTAAACAGCGACAACCCTTCATTTAACCTTGCCACCCATGATCCAGATGTACAAAGAAATAAAAGAAGCGTGGAGCATGTGAACCAGCCATGCATCTGATAACCACCAGAAGGAGCCATTAGAGATTTGATTTGCATGATAATTGATTGATTTGATTGTAAATACATTACAATCACAATCAATCAATAACATTTATTAAGAATTCATAATTTCTTTAACTTGTTACGCGCAGCGCACCGTCATTGCAGCGATTAAGAAGTGTTTGAAAGCACCAAAAAGAGATTTTTTTGTGAAAAGAGACAAACTCCTCCATATATTTATTCGTAAACTGTAAAAGTTTTAAAATTATAGTTTTGATTCCATCCAAACACTCCTAAACGTTTTTATGTGAGAAAAAGGAAATAACATTATCTAATAAAAAATAAAACAAAAGGAGGAAAAGACGTAAAATTTCGTCCATCTAAGCAAAGGCAACGTATAAAGGCCAACATGCCCGGTGCCAAGGTGAGCGGATCGTTGCCTTTAAACAAGGACTTTTTCTCTCCAAAATCCTCTCTCCTCCCAACGGTATCTTCTCTTTGCTTTCTGCCTTTCTCCTTTCCCCAACCTTTCGTCGCCATAATTCATCCATGCCCCCTCTTCTTTTCATTTTCTGCGCCCTCCCTCTCTCAACCGATCTCAAAAGCCTCAAAAGTTACTTTAGAGAGAGAACAATGTCACAGGCATTGCAATAATTCATCTCTCTTTTCATGCATGTTCCTCTCCTCTCTATCTCCTGCCTCTGAGCTCTCCACTCATAATCACAGCGAGAGATCAAAGGTGCGTCAATCCCTCTCCTTCGGTATATCCTTAAACACGTTATTCATATCAGTTCCGCGGATTCTCAATACAGCTGAAATTCGATCATCTCTTGCTGCACTTTTTATTGTATGATTCAATATACTGAGCATTGTATGACCAGCATTATAATCGCACGTTGATCCGAGTCCGGAAGATATTGGATAACTTAAATGGTATTTCACAGTTAGTTACCGCTTTCTTCTGGTCATTAGTTTTCTCTATGATTTTTTTTGTTTGTTTTACAGTGATTTGGCTCTTGGATTGCCCTTTCTTTTTTTTCTTTTCTTTCTTTTCTTTTTTCTTAATTTGTTCTGTGACTCCGCGCCTGCATGCATTTATATATGTTGCCTTGGTATCTACTGAAGGCGTAGCAAAATTTGTTTAGGGAAATAAATACCTGTTATTGCGGCTGTTCTCCACATATTTTTTAATCATTGCAGAAGCGTGTATGGCGGTGTCAAAGAATTTGCAATTTCGCTAAAAAGGGACGCTTTTTTTTTTTCCATGCTTATATATTCCTTATTATATCTGATAATATTGTATTTTCTATGCAGTGAGCTACTCAGAAATTTGCATCCACTGTGTTGCTTGCTTGTACAGACAGCATTTAAGAAGGAATTTCAGCAATGTCTAGCTCAACTAAAATTTTAGATCCTGCCTTTCAGGGAGTGGGTCTAAAATCGTATCCTTAATATATCAAGTGCATTTGAATATAAATTGTGATCCGATCTATTCTTTATGCTTCTCGAATAAATTAGGTGTGAAAAACGAAAACAACAGAAAAATTTACTTCATAGAACAGCCAAATTGTATGTAATTGATCTTCGCATGCTATATGATTTTCTTGGTTATCTTCTTGTATATTGAGTCCACGTTGAGTGGTTTTATACTTAACTTCATGAAGAGGAACTGAAATATGGAGGATCGAGAATTTTCAGCCAGTTCCTTTGCCTAAATCCGAATATGGGAAATTCTACATGGGTGATTCGTATCTCATATTGCAGGTGAGTATCATTAAATCTGATGCATTGACTATGTTCTTATTATTTAGTATTGTTCATCATCATCTTGCATGACTAGATGCTGAATGCTCTATAGATGCATGGTTCATGATCTCTGTTTACCATATTGGAGATTCGGTCCACATTGTCATGGTAATTGTCATCTTAGACACACTAGGCCAAAGCACACTCACAAACTAAATACATGAAGAACGAGGAAGGGTGCAACTTTCATTATGTCTATATCATATAAGGAAAGCCTCTAACACAATTACTAACCTTTTGGCATGTTTGATTTACATCTTCAGTTTTTTCCCCTCGTTATGTCGGTTCTCTTATATGCTTACTTTCAGACAACTCAAGCAAAAGGAGGCACTTACTTTTATGATATACACTTCTGGATTGGAAAGGACACAAGTCAGGTGAGCCTAAGTAAAATGTTAGGTGAGCCTAGTAAAGTTCGTTTGAGGTTGTCTTAAATACATGATTCACCTGCTTGTTTTAAATTACCTGATCCATTATAGGTGACAAAAGAATATTATTTCTTGATATAACGGTTTTCTCTAGGATGAGGCTGGAACAGCAGCCATCAAAACTGTTGAACTTGATGCTGCTCTTGGAGGACGTGCAGTGCAGCACAGGGAAATCCAAGGCCATGAATCCGACAAGTTCTTGTCATACTTTAAACCATGTATCATACCATTAGAGGGGGGTGTTGCTTCTGGATTTAGAAAACCTGAAGAAGAAGAGTTTGAAACACGATTGTACATATGCAAGGGAAAGCGAGTTGTCAGGATGAAACAGGCATATTTTCCCCCAGACATTAGCTTCATGGATCCAGTGAACATTCATTGAATGAACATGTAACTTTACATGTTGCTTGCGCAGGTACCTTTCGCACGTTCGTCACTCAATCATGATGATGTTTTTATCCTAGACACTCAGAACAAAATTTATCAGTTCAATGGTGCAAATTCCAATATTCAAGAGAGAGCTAAGGCTTTGGAAGTAATTCAGTTTCTGAAGGAAAAGTATCACGAAGGGAAGTGTGACGTTGCAATTGTTGGTGAGGACACATTTTTTTGGTAGAATTTATATAATTTGACATTTCTATTCTGTGGACGTAATTCTTACTTTGTTTCTAAATGTGTCTAAAATCTATTCCACCCTGCAGATGATGGCAGGTTGGACACTGAGTCAGACTCTGGTGAATTTTGGGTCCTCTTTGGTGGTTTTGCTCCCATTGGAAAGAAGGTTATCTGTGAGGATGACATAATTCCGGAGGCCATTCCAGCTCAACTTTATAAGTATGTTGATTTCTTCTCATCCCTTCCCTCATTCCCTCAAAGATCTGTTTCAGAAGGATCATAGATGGAAGTCGATAGTTTCCATTTTTAAAAGACAAAAATAGTTGGTTGGTCGTAACTATCGTATGAAATGTCCTCGCAGCATTGTTGATGGCGAGGTCAACCCCGTAGAAGGTGAATTGTCTAAATCACTATTGGAGAACAAGAAATGCTATATACTGGACTGTGGGGCAGAGGTATTTCTTTGGGTTGGCCGGGTAACACAAGTTGAAGAAAGAAAATCAGCCTGTCAAGCAGTTGAGGTATTGACGTTATAACTTGTAACTCTTCATATGTCAGTTGAACATGGATTCCTTATCTTTCCTATTGGCTGCAGGAGTTTGTTGTGAGTCACAACAGGCCAAAATCGACGAAGATAACCAGAGTAATTCAAGGTTTTGAGACACATGAGTTCAAATCCAACTTCGATTCTTGGCCAACAGGAACTGCTACTACGGGTGCTGAGGAAGGAAGGGGAAAAGTTGCAGGTGAATATCATTTCTTCCCACTTGAAACATGACTCGTGCCATTGTGTCTCACTAGGCATACTAAGTATGGTACTTTGTTTACTACTAGCTTTGGTGAAGCAACAAGGCATGGGCATCAAAGGAATGGCCAAAAACACAGCTGTAAATGAGGAAATTCCTCATCTACTCGAAGGAGGTGGAAAGTTGGAGGTTAGTTGTTTAGGGGGGTGTGTGCGTGTGCGAATACATGTTATTTTTTTAATCCGTCTCTTGAAAATACTATTATTTCACTTTTTCAGGTATGGCGGATTGATGGAGGTGATAAGGATCCATTACCTAAGGGGGATATAGGTAAATTTTACAGCGGGGATTGCTACATGGTACTGTACACCTACCACGGTGGTGAGAGGAAGGAAGACTACTTTTTGTGCTGTTGGTTAGGGAAAGACAGCGTTGAGGTAATTTCTGTTATTCCAATATCAGTTCAAAATATAGAATGGAAGTGTAATATTTCGTGACATTCACTTAAGCCTTGTTAGTATTTTTAATCAAGGGATCTTAAGATTGACCAAAAACGACCGTACTTGAGCAAATATCTTCCATTTTACGAGGATTTGGTTGGCCGTAAAAGCAACGTTTAAGTGATATACACTGATATTTTAAATGCTGATTCAGTCATACAAGGGGATAGACGATGATGTCTATTGTTTTCGTTTACTGGAAGCAATAGATACTGGACTGAAGTGATCAACCTTTGCTCTGCATTGACACACACACGGGGAAAAAAATAGGATTCGGTTTTTATAATTTTTGATTCAATATTAATTAGTTTCAACCTAAATTGAATATGTATCACCTTTCAATTCACGAACAAAGTAGCAGTTGGTTTTTTCCCTAAAGATATGAGACAACTTAGCAAACCATTGTCTATCACTTTTCAAACTTACATGGCTGCGCTGAGTGTTGTGAATTAAGAACTTGTGTAAATTTAAAGGAATTTTTTTCCATGAATAATTGTATTAAGCAGATAATATCTTTAGATTATACCAACTCTATTCTTTAAGCTGCTGCTACATTTTTGCACTGATTATTTGATCCACATATCTAATGTCTTACACATCAATCCAACCATAAATGATCATCTTAGATTGTAAGCACTTGAATACCTTTTCGTAGATTGTACACATAAATGATCGTCCATTGTTGTGCTACCGATTTATAGCCACTTTGGATAAAAGCTTTTGCTTACCATGATCAATAAACTGTGCAATCACACTTTTCTGTAGAATAACTGCTATTAGTGTTTTTTTAACGTGTTTTTCAAAGTCTCTTTTCCCCCACAGTACTTATCTGTACGAAAGAATAAGTAATCTCTTATCGCATTTGGTTGGAGTTGAGATTAAACAATATAAAGGGCATGGGAACGTCTTCAGATTCGTAAACTTCTTTTGCTAATTGCTTTCGTTGGCTGAAATATTGATGAACTGATGGCTACATACAAATTATATTTATTACAATTCCCACTCAGGAAGATCAAAGGATGGCAAGTCAGTTGGCCAACACAATGTTCAATTCCCTCAAGGGTAGACCTGTTCAGGTATCGTTATCACGTTGTCAGATTGGGAAAGTGCTTGGAAATGGTCTGCAATTGAATTAGTTTCTCGCAGGGTCGCATATTTGAAGGCAAAGAGCCACCGCAGTTTGTTGCTCTTTTTCAGCCTATGGTGGTCCTTAAGGTACCGTGTCATTACTCCGGAAGTGTTTTTTGAGAATGCATGTAGTCTAAACTCTAAACATGTGATGCTATCCATTTTAACTGAATTATCTATGTTTTAGGGAGGTTTGAGCTCTTCTTACAAACAATTAATGGCTGACGAAGGATTGGCAGACGAGACATATACAGCAGAGTGTATTGCCCTCATTCAAGCTTCTGGAACTTCGAATTATAATAAAGCGGTGCAAGTTGATGCAGTATGCACCCATTCAATGCTTCATTTTTGTTCACCGTCTTTTTGTTTTTCTGGGGCTTATATTTTTCTACCAGTCACTTCTGGTTGCGTCAGACCAAGCATGCTGTTCTTGTTCAGGTGGCAACATCACTAAATTCTACTGAGTGTTTCCTCCTGCAATCGGGCTCAACAATCTACCTTTGGCATGGAAATCAATCTTCTTTTGAGCAGCAGCAGGTGGCTGCAAAAGTTGCAGACTTTTTGAAGGTACATTCTGCTTACCAAAATTCTTTGGAACACCAACTAGTGTCATCTAAAAAAGAACCAAGTTCTTCAAGCGTTATGGTAAGAAGTTAGCACTTAGCACATGACCAAATTGTTTTCACCACTGATAAAATTGAGTATGCGTTTACTTTAATGTCTCGAATAGATCGACCCTTTTAGAAAGAGATTTTGATTCTTATATGCATGAAATCTTAGACTAGGTACTTTTGTTGCACGCATTGCTTCAAGTCAAGCACACTGACTTGACCTGACAGCTTTCCCCCCTTTTGCATTTCTTACAACTGAGCAAAATCATGATTTTGATTGGCCCTATCTTATTGTACATTAATATCACCTGTTATGGGATTTTCAGCCAGGAGTTGCTTTAAAACATGCTAAAGAAGGAACAGAAAGCTCAGCCTTCTGGTCTGCACTGGGAGGAAAACAAAGTTATATCAGCAAAAAAGTCACTAATGACACCGTCAGGGATCCACATTTGTTCACTTTCTCGCTTAACAAAGGTAGCATTCTTCCTTTTTACTTCTCTGGATAAAATGTTAAGGACACTGGCATTGCTGATGGAGCTGTTTCCTTGTTCCAACCATTCTTTTCCAACGTGGATTCGCCAGGAAAGTTCCAGGTGAGTTGGTGTCTGCAACTTCATTATGTCAATTTTCCTAGCCAAGAAATCTGTAATTTGTAATTTGGCCTTTGTAGATCTCTAAATGTGTTTTGTATTTTCCTCTGCAGGTTGAGGAGATTTACAACTTCTCCCAAGATGATCTGTTAACTGAGGATATGCTCATCCTTGATACGCATGGGGAAGTGTTTATTTGGGTTGGTCAGACTGTTAACCCAAAAGAGAGGCAAAGTGCCTTCGAAATTGGCCAGGTAAACATATTAATCATATTTAGGATGTTGTTTCCCATTTTCTTACGTGGTTGATATGCTTCATTTATTCTGGAACTTTTTCCCACCAGAAATATATAGAGTTGGCTGCATCTTTAGAGGGACTCTCTCCTCAAGTGCCACTGTATAAAGTCACGGAAGGGAACGAACCATGCTTCTTCACAGCATACTTTTCATGGGATCATGCGAAAGCTACTGTATGCGTATTAACTATCAGGGTTTTCCGTTTTTAATTTTCGTTTGATATTTTATTACTTTATTCATTGTTTTCACTCTTTTTGTCATTTTCAACTGTAAACCCAGTTTGATGAATGTCTCTCTTGGTCAACTGAAATAATTCTTCCTGTCCATATTAGCAAAGCCCTTATGACATTGTCAGTGGTAATTAAATAAGGGGTTCATCTATTTGCTCGTTACGACACAACCAAACTAGGTCCCTAGCAGCTATGACGTTGCTAGGCCTACTTCAATGCTGGCTTGGGTTTGCTAGGAAGTTGAAAACTAGACTGACATAATATACAAGTCTTTTCATTTAGCCTATTCTAAATATTGTTCAGCTGGCTTCTGCAGAGATGAACGAATGAGTTTAGCCTTTGGCATCCAGGTGAATTTGATCATTCCCAGAGCGTGCTCCTTTTCTTAGAAGTAACTGTCTCCTTAAGCATAGACAAAGAAATATTTCACAAACACCCATCTTCAAATACCCATGTTAAAGAACCTACGATGAAGACCAAAAATAGCGGATTTTCTTATAGCTGGAGTTTAACTGGCGGGAAGATTATTCCATCTATCATTTGAATCTCTATATCTCTTTCTGATCATGAAATGCTGAAATCAACATGAACTTGAAAGTTAAAACACAGGGAGGATCAGAACATAGACCGGCTTGTGGCAACTGTTTACATTTATGAACTAGGGTCACTTGGTGCTATTATTTGAACATTGTGAAAATCTACCAGGCGAAGTTGTGATTTTGAAAAACGATTTGAAGTGATTGTGTGATTTTAAAGAATATATTTTACGCAAGACAAGGCTCATACAAATTTACATGTTTCATTAAATGGTGCTTGCTGATTAAATGCAGGTTCAAGGAAACTCATTCCAGAAAAAGGTGACCCTACTATTTGGGGTTGGCCTTGCTGTGGAGGTAAATGCTTCACTTCTAATTTTCACAATATTCTGTTGCTGTCAATCGTGAAAAGTAACTCCATTTCCCAATTACACTTGCTGGTTACATTAAAACCAACACTTGAAATCGAACTTCTGTCAAGACTAATATTCATGATTGCTAAGGTCCAAACGTGAAATTCTTGTTCATGTCATGATTATTGATCTCCATTAATGCTATATGGAAAAAAGTGCTTTTGTAGGGGAACTTGGGATATCTATATTTGCTCGCCGGGCATGGTCTTTAGAGTTATAAAACATTTCACTTAGTTCTGTAAGGAAATTTCTTAGATGATCTTCAAGCTTTCCATCTCTCTAAATCAAAATTAACATTCAGTGCCAACCCCGAGACTACACTTTCAAACTGGGTTGAAAGAAGGATGAAAGTGTCGATAACAATACAGAAACATTGCTCTGTTTTTTTCTGCTTTTCTTTCCTTCTCAGGACTGATTTTCATAAAATAGTTCTTTTGATGATGTTAAAATAATTCATTTGCAGTAGCTTTCTTTTAGATTATGATAAAGAGAAAAGTGAGGTCTATGGTATATCAAGCACTGGGTTGTAGAAATGACGAAGGTATTATTTACGATATAGAAACGCTACTCTGTTTTTCCCCACTTCCTATTTCTCTTCATGATATGCTGAAATAATTCTTGTGTGGTAGTTTTCTTTTATAGTGCGATTAAGAGAAAAGTAAGGCACATAGTATATCAAATATCAACATTATGGGTTCATATTAGAATATCTATGATGCCTTTCTCGCTTGAGTGGTCTTCTCACTCTTTTCAAGTTCATCCAGGTTCCGTACGAGTAGGCATTGTTTAATCTCACCATTAGTTGTCTTGCTCGTCATTATTAGTGGTATAAATATATTCAGAAGCATTTCTGTCAGTATTAGATATGTATCATGTGTAAATGTGGTGCCTCCTTAGTAATATTATTCCTTTATTGCATTAGTAAGGCTTTGTTGATTCTGGTGACAGGAAAAGTCTGACGGATCTGGTCCAAGACAAAGAGCAGAAGCCTTAGCCGCCTTAAACTCTGCTTTTAATTCATCTTCCGAGAAAACACCCATTACGGTATTGCACCTGTTCACAGACAAGTTGCTAACTTTTCTCATAACAAAATAATTATAGGGAGTAGTTTCTCAAACGAACAGACACTCATGTTAAGAGGATAGTATTTTAACAAGATAAAGGATATTGTAGTGCTTCTTTCTAATTTGTGGCACTCCCACAGTCACAGGATAGGTTGTATGAATTAAATCATGGAGGACCAAGACAGAGAGCAGAAGCTTTAGCGGCCTTAAATTCTGCTTTTAGTTCATCATCGGGTTCTAAAGCTATTGCCCCTAAACCTTCTGCAACAAGTCAAGGATCACAAAGAGCAGCCGCGGTAGCTGCTCTTTCATCAGTTCTCACTGCTGAAAAGAAGCAATCACCTGATTCTACACCAGTTGGTAGTCCTCTTGCAGGAAACATCACCCCGGTGAGGAAAAAAATCTCTAATTATTTTAAGAGAGATGTTGCATTATGGGCACTGTGCTGGTGCTTCTGTCCCTTTTTTCCCCCCCACATAAAATGTGGCAAAATGCATTTCTTTTTTCAGAAAAAAGAACAGTTCCATTCTTGTTTATCGGAACCTGATCCTTTTGTTCCTTTTCCTTAAAATTTGTATGTAATTTTTTTATCATTAAATGCACACTGTTATCACCTGGATTGACTTTGGTCAGTGTGAGAAAATGTGCAGTATTATCACCAGTTGCGTTATCTAGAATCAAAGATTTCGGCTTAATCAGTACAAACAACCCCATCAGGGCCCCTTTACTTTTATTTAAAAAGAATTTGCTATCCTGGCTTATTGAGATGCCAGACAATTATACATGAGGAGGCTTTGGCTTTCTCTTTCCCTCGAGGTGCCTTCATAGTCACGTCCTAATTTTGCTTGTGTAAATGTTCGAAAGATAACTGCAAAATTCCTTGCTGTCCAAATGCTTGAATTTTACTTGTTCAAAGAATCAGAAGCTGATCCGTTTGACAATTTTGAATAGTTTCAGCAGAAGGTAAGAGTGAAAATGCCCGTGCTGAGACTGGAGGTCTTGAAGAAGTCGAAGATGCCAAGGAGCCAGAGGAAGAAACTGTTGGCGATGGGGATTCCGAACCAAAACAGGAAAACTTGGACGATGATATTTTAAGTCCAAGTAGTCATGTGACATACAGTTATGATCAACTGAAGACTCTCTCTGATAATCCTGTGTCTGGAATTGACTTTAAACGGAGAGAGGTTAGTCATGCTTTACTTATTGTTAATAAAACTATATATGCTTTGAATTTATATATATAGTGACTTTGTCTCCAATTGTGATATCGCTCAGGCTTATCTGTCAGATGACGATTTCCTATCTGTATTCGGAATGACAAAAGAAGCATTTTATGAAATGCCAAAGTGGAAACAAGACATGCTGAAAAAGAAGCAGGGCTTGTTTTAGACTGTGATGTATCTGGCTGCTTTTGCATCCTCAAATCCATTTATCTGTTGGATTTTTATAGGCACACCATCCTCGGGATTGCCGCGCATAAATTTTGTTGTTGGCAAAAGGAGCCGGGCCGTGGCCAGTGCCGTAATTACTTGTGACGCGGCTTGGCGAGTGATTTTGATTGCTCCTTTTATGTTGCTGCTACCTATATGTAGTAATGCTCACGTATTGTAGCAGTTAAGTTAGTGAACAGGGCCAATTCTTTCATTTGCTCTAGTTCGTATTATTATATAGTCCTTGACCTCTTTCATGTTGTCATTGATTAGGTTGGTGGATGTATATGCATTGCATTTTATATGAATCTCAATGCAGAGAATGAAATTTTGTTTGTTATGGTTTCAAGTTTTAACTAGGTAAATGAAAGTGTAATTTGCCATTCTCTTTTTTTTTTTGGTATAATTTTGAATAAAATGCCAACGAAAAAAATTAAAAAAAAAAAAAAGCTTGCAAGATAAGGACATGGGAGAAGTTTTATGTTGTAAAATTATTTTAATTGATATCGGGGTTTTCCAAATACCCAATAGCTATACGAGATTACCAGCACACTCAATATGAAAATATCAGGACTGTCAAAATTGTAATAAAGCGCTCTAATGTCGCAGTCAAATACTAATATGATGATTTTTCATAACCTCAGGAGGCACAGTAGTAATTTTACTTTCACCTATTAGAAAAGGAAAAAAACGCACATCCCAAAATATCTACTATTATTATTGGTCACGTAAGGAATGAATCCGCGACGTGAGGTCCTGAGGTGTATCCCCACTTTCATCAAATGAAAAGGTGAGGTCATAAGTAATAAGGGGGTACGGGGATTTTTAAAAAGACACTAATATTTGTGCCATACTGCGTATCTGTGGCCAGAAGTTGCCAGGGTCCATTCCCTACCAGAAGGGCACCAAGAACCATCTCCAATCTTCATGCACACTCTATCCCCGATGAATGCTGCGTATAGATTCTGCTTAGCATCCACAATCCTTACAGGTGATCGGCTGTGAATACCCTGACGCTTGCGGATATCAATCTGCCACCAAATGTTAACTAGTTATACCGAGGGGGAACTTCGTTGAATGACCAATGCAATAGTAGGGTATTAGTTAAGTTACATACCAACTTCACAATCTGATCACGAGTCGAGTTACCCCATTCATAAAAGTGATCATAGAAAACTGTCGGTATCCCTGGATGCGTCAATATGTAAGAATAACCCTGCCAACAATTCATCATAGATGCAGTTTAGTAAACTTTGGCAACGTAAGGAGAGCATAACCTCCAACCCAAAAAAGAATAAGAATTGTGCAAGAAGCATAATGGAAGATAAGCATTAAAGCAATCATTATGTTGACCCGGAGAAAAAAGTACCTCCATGATATGATTTGAGGGGAAGGGCCAATGAGCCTGCACAGTGAGAAGGGAGTTTGATCAAATAAAAGAATGCAATAGGAATCTTTGGCAGAAGGGGAGGAAAAACATCTTGCGTGTTGATGCAAAAATTCTTATCAAAATCAGAAGGCAATAAATTTTAATTAGCAACCAGCATAGTTTAATTACATGCAACATGTGCCCCAGAAACAAGAAAAATATACTACGTCTCCGATATTGTCTCTGAAGCATCTCAATGCATCATTTTATTAGTAATAAATTCAGTACCTGTGTAGAACCTGTATCATGGTTATCTAAAAATGTCACTGCCCTTGAAGGCCACCACCCCACGACCCCTGGTGGCTTTCCTTGAGGATCCCTTAAACGCCAAAAATCTCCCTTGACAGCTTCCTACAGCAAGGCACCTCAGTTTAATTTTAAGAAATTTCATTCTGGATACACCATTTTCCTCACGCCTCCATAGATACAAGAGTTAGTAGACTTCATAAGATCAATGAAAATCAAAGCAAAATCATAATGAACTTCATGCTTTGGAAGATGTAACTGTAATGTTCAAAGAGCTGATACTTTTACCTTCTACCCTCAATTAAAGATGTAAAACATGGTTCTCATTTCCTAAAATGTTCATTTAAGTTATGAACTACAAAATGTTGGAAAATACCTGAAGAATTCCTTTTGTCGTGAAGTCAAATGCAGTTGAAAGCTGACCTGTGCCATCGATCCAATTGATTATCCGTTGCCTATGGCTGTCTGCAGGTGAACAAGCAAAAGAAAATAATGATGACAATTTATTAGAGTCTAGAAACTTAAGAAAATAATGATGACAAATTAGTAGACTCTAGAAACTTAGGGACCATGTAGTCCCAACAGAGGCAGCAATCTTTAAACAATTGGTCATAAATTCATCCACCACTCAGAAAAGAATAATTCACCACAATAATCAACACGTAGAATGACCTAGAAAAAGGCTAATAGGCTCACCTGTCAACAGTTTAACACTTTAACTTTAACATAGAAGACGACATCAGGCAAAACAACTCTGTTGAGATCAGCAATTTGGTTCTTGTGGAGAACCTCGCCACTACTAAACTTCTTTCAGCTCCTTTTCTTCTCTTAATACTTCTCTTCAATAAATTTTAAACTAGAAGTTTTGACGTAGTTGAGTAAAAATTTATAGATTGAAGAAGAGATATCTCACAGTCATTAGTTAGTAATGCCTCACATTCCTAGTTATAGCAGAAAATTGGACTTATTTTGACGTTCCCCCATCTACTCTCTTCATGCTGAGATAATTTCCTTAGGAATTTAAAGTGAAAAAAATTAAATTAAATAAGATGTTTCAATCTCTCTTGGATTTTTCCAATTTTACAAGAGCTTTTCGTACATTTCAAGAGCCAGCACAAAACTCCATCAATAGAGAAAGTTTGTGAACCGAAAAATCTAAAAAATCCAAAGGACACTGCGATGCAATAGACAATATACGCTGAAGTGTAGTACCTTGGTTATAGTCCAAAACACAACCGCGATAGTTGCAAGAATCCCAATACTCCCCAACAGAGAATGCTGGCTTTGTTTTTTCAACATACTCTTTCACAAATTTTGGTGAATAACTGAAAAAATAGAGAAATTGTAGAGGTCTGTCAACGAATAGAATGTGGAAAACAAGAAGATGAAAAAAAACTAATATTCCAAAGGGATGAGTATTCTTACCCCTTTGCAAAATCAAAACGAAAATCCTGAAAGCCTATCTTACTGTGTAGCCATTGGAGCCACCCAACGATGTCCTTTCTCACAAAATCTTGGGTATGATCAATATTTGGAAACCCATGGAAAATGGCCCCTGTGCTTTGACTACCCTTAAATAATTTTTAAAAGGGATAATTAATCCGCAAATCCTTATAGTTTCAACGAATTTTAAATTACGTCCTTATAGTTTTTTTTCTTTTTATCAGATCCTTATACTTTCACTTGTTTTTAATTAGGTCCTTATATTTATTTTTCTTTTTATCAAATCCTTATAAGTTCATTTTATTTTTAATTAAGTCCCTGAATTTTTTATTCTTTATTTTATGAATTCTAATAGTATTATTATATAAACATAAAATAGTATATATTATTTAATATTAGTTTATAAACAATAATATTCTAAAGATATGAATTATTATAATGATTTTAAATTTTTCAGCAAAAAAATTAATTGTTCTAAAAAATTTTCCTGAATTAATTAATTCTATTATTTTTTATTACATAATTATTAATTTAATTTACTTATTAATATTTTATATTTCATTATTAATCTATTTAATTAAGCTTATATTTAATTAATAAATAAAAATTAAAACTACATGGACCTGATTAAAAATTTAATGAAATTATAAGGACTTAATTAAAAGAAAAATAAATACAAGGACCTAATTAAAAAAAGGTAAAAGTATAAGGATCTAATAAAAAGAAAAAAAACTATAGGGACCTGATTCAAAATTAGTTGAAACTATAAGGACTTACGGATTAATTAACCCTTTTTAAAAAAAAACAGATAGAAATGAGAGAATTCGTCGGTTGCAAAGTGGAATCAATGAAAATATGCTGACTACAGAAAATTATCTTACCAAGCCACCAGTATCAGCTGTTACAGCACGTTCATCCCATGATAATGGAATTCCATCATAACGATTATACATCCCTCCACGTCCTTGGGTTGTGCCACAACGATGATTGATAACTATGTCAGCCATTGCTCGTACCTTGCACTGCTTCATCTTATGAAGCAAAGCTTGTAACTGATGCTCAGAGCCATATGAGCTATTGAGAGAGTAAAGGTTTTGCGGAGTGTAACCTGTAAACGAAAAGGAAGTGAAAGGTTTGATCTCATCATCCTCGTCAGGTCATTGGAAAAGATAAAATATTATTCGAAACCCAAATAATTTCGTGCTCACTGCTTCTAACCTTGAGGAGAGAAGGAATGTGTTGGTGGTGGCAACCAGGCTGAAGTAAATCCAGCTTTTGCTATGTCAGGAACTTTGGATTCTAAATTTCTCCACCAATCGTATTTGTGAGACTCCCAGTTGAATGCCTGAAAAGCATTTTTATTTTATTTTCTTTTGTTGGTGTGTGTTAAATCATCTGTGTGAAATACAATTGACCGATTTTAATTCTAAAAACTGAAATGCAGTATATTACATATAAGTAACAAAATCAGCACAGTTTTCCAACTAAGTACTGCCCAAGGCTAGAGAAACGAACAACATAGACTTTGAAAAGTATAGCCAAAAAAGGCTTGATGATATGTGATAATCAAAGTCAGAACATTGCCTCCAAAATCTATTTAGTTATAGGTAGGCAACTAAGCATATAAGCAGAGTCCCAAATTTTTGGTTTACCTGAAAAAGAATTTCCTTTCCATTTCGTATCAGTGCACCTGGTCATTTATGTCAGGGAAACATTCAGTAGGATCAAAATATCCTCTACTAAGTATTTAAATTAACATGTTGGATACAACAGTTAACCTGACACTGAAAATTCAGTTATGAATATCACTTCTATTATTATTGATCATAATACCAGCTGTGACTATAACGTTGTGCATGAAATGGGAGTTAAAATTGTAAGTCAGCAAAAGACCATATGATGATTGTGAGTCTGTGCATGTGAAATATAGGAAGAACAGCATACCATGATCGTTTTGTTGATTAGTTTGATCAAACTCCTGCCCATCAACCATCAACCAAAAGATAAAGATAAAGTTAAACAAAGAAATCTGAAGAATGCTTCACAAAAGCGAGAGTGAATAGGAATCTTTTGCTTACATTACTTAGGTAACCCATAGCAACTCAAGGATTACAAACAGTGGGTGAACAAATTCTGCTTTAATGCGGTAACCTGCATCAATGATAAATTTATCAGTTACGGGGTTTCGAGCCTGATGAGTGAAAATAAAGACCATATGATTTGCCGAGATAACAATCGAAGCATAAGAAATGAAAAACATGAGACTGTGTCATTTGCTAATGTTCTCAAGTCTCGATGACAGCGTCATCCTTTAACAGAGTGAAGGATAGGAAATTAATTCAGGTTCTTGATGCCAGTCCAAATAAGAGAGATTAGTTGGCTATCATTTCTATATAAGTATGCGCATGAAGCACCAAATACTTTGTCCCAGAGAAGATGCCAATTCATAAGTTCGGCAATGCACGGCAACCAACGCATAAGTTAAGTAAAGTCAAAATCAAATTAACAATGAAGTTAATGTTCATACTTTTTTGTGTAGCACAAAAACTACCGTCCTAAAAGCAACGACGAAGCTCATAAAACAAGGAAAATCAAGAACATGTAAGTAGCCAAAACGTACCAGAGTGAATTGACGATTGCAGCGTGAATTGGCTAGGGAGCCTTGGGCCTATAAGTAGAGAGAAAAGTAGAAAATTTCGTATCACCATCCACTGACTTGGGAATCACACGGTTCTGTCTATAAGATGGCAAATAGGAAGGAATTAATGCAAAAAAAAACATTAAAAAAAGAATCAGCTCCTCGAATGAGAAGCGAGCATATTTCAGAAAGAACGGGCTTAAATTAGAGAGAGAAAGAGAGACGCGTGGAAACCGGGGGAAAAAACTGTGCGTGTCTTAGCTGGTAAGGATGAAGAGCCCCAATAGTAGCAGTAACTGAAAGTGATAGGATCGGTAATGGAGATGTCATAGAATCTCTCTCACACGCAGAGGCTTTGGCTCAGACAAGAAGTGCCACGTAGCTAGCTTGGCAAGCAAGCTACCATCGAATTGGGATTGAGGACGCCTTTGATTAATGCAATGCGCGCAATAGCTTTCACGGTGGCCCCGAAGCATCGGCGGGTCATCCAATTCAATTCACGCTTCATAACAAAACCAAGGCTTCATCCGCCCTTGGTGGGCCACTTCGGCCAATATCTATTGGATACTCCTGCCCCATTGGGAAACCGTGGTGTCTGACCCAGAAAGAATTTCAACATTTATGACCGAAACCATCGAATTGACTCTGGAAAACAGAACTGGACCGGCCCATTCCATCAACCAGCGATCCAGTGCTTGGTCTGGTCCATGACAAATCGTTATATATGCCCTTTACCTTGTCTCAAGTTTCATCAGAAGGCGGAAACCTGACATGACTAGTTTATAACCTCTTTTTTAATTAAAAATAAATTAGTAAACTTAGATCTGTTAAATCGAAACTAAGGTACTGTTTGCTAGGAAGAAAATGGAAGGGAGGAAAGGAAAAGAAAAATTTTAGTAAGCTCTATTTAAAAAAAATTAAAAAGTGAGGTTTTAAAATTGTAATTAAAAAAATAATTAAAATTAATTAAAAATTTATGTAGTCATATGCACATTGGGAAAAACCAACAAGAAAATTTAACAGTCATGGAAATTCCAAGTTGCCAGTTAGGTATCCTATAACCTATTATATAAATAAGGAAAGGACAATAGGCGATTGCTAGATAAGAGGTACAAACTGCTTTCCTCCTTTTTATGCTTGTCATGTTCATGATCGACTACTAGCAAGCAACCAGTAACGACCATCGATCGGATTTCATAAGAGACAAGTAGCCTTGAAGCCTATGTTAATTTAAGAGACTCTGTGCATCTCAGGCTTCTATTTACCCTCTTGTTATTTATCTATTTAAGTACTATATGTTTTCTAACTATGCATCGCGTGAGGGCAGCTAGGTCTCGCCACAAATGATGGACAGAGCCCTGTGGTGAAAAGTGAAAACCCATTGTCTTAATCTTAGTTAATTGTAAGGTGAAAAATAATTAAGCTGCATCTGCCACCCCGAAACATTTTTTTAAGTGTGTTTAGTATTTTAAAATATTTTTTGATGCATCTAACACTTTAAAATATTTTTTTCAAATGAATATAGCATTTTAAAGTATTTTTTTTGCACATCTAACATTGTGAAATTCTTTTTCATATGTGTTCAATGCCCAGTGCTTCCAACACCAAACATAAAAAATACTTTAGGGTTCTAAACATATTTTAAATCTTTTTTTATGGATTAGATGTATATGAAAATATTTAGAATACTGATTATACCTGAAACTGTAGCTTAAACCTGGGGGGCAGGGGGACATGTTAATTGTGAGGGGTGGAGCTTCAACGGCTCGGGATGAGATTCAGCCCGTAATGTGGTCCATTTTGCTATTCATACAGACCTAGTTTTTGGAGAGTTTTCCAGCTGACTCTATGGACTCAAGCTCGAGCTAAATTATTGGCTCATTAAAAAAGGTGAAAATTTTTCATTTTATGCAACTTTCTCCCAGCAATTTTTTCATTAAATGGTCAGCTGAAAACAATGACTTAAGACTGAAACAAATTTAAGCTTTAAATATTAGTAAAGCAAATTCACAAAAAAAAAAAAAAAACTGAAAACACGGGGACACATTTATGCATGCATTATTTTCTTTTTTCAGTACAGGTATCCGGCAAAAATTCAAATCTTGGTTTGAGCAATCACAGTAGACTTATCCCTTCGGCCAGGCTATCCATGCATTATTAACTCATTATACAGTAAAACTTAATTTACAAAAGATAAAAATGAAGGCTTGTGGCCTCCATTGAACTTGGTCAATTAGGTTGGAGTTGAGAAAATTACTGCAGCCTGCGTGGGTTGACTCATATGGACCGAGCCCCTAAGGGTCGGGTGAGCCGATTTTGACGTCCGCGTCCGCTAGTTTATTATATGCATTTGGAACGGTAACTTTAAACGAGTGGGTTCGTCTCTTTTAATTTCGTAGTGCTCTTCTGCCTTCCTTTATGCATCAGGTTCGCGTACCTTTTCTCTTGAAAACTGATCTGTTTGAATCTTACGGCTGCTCTCAAGTAGAAGTAGGAGCATAGCCATGGATCAAACCAAAAAACCAGAAGTAAAAGTAAAAGTAAAGCTCCTCTTCTGAACTACATATATATTCCACTTTTCTGCGCAGTTGAACCACGAGCGAAGGAATCACAGTCTGGAAAAGAAGTGATACTGCAATAAAAGCATCACAGAATCAAAATTCACTGTGTGATAAACACAAGTACATAGGAAAACCCAATTACAAAAGACTAATATACTGGGAAAGAAAATTCCTAATGTGAGACTCACAATACGCTATTTGTCTGTTCCATCTTTTCTAATTATAAGATGAAGTTAACTAAATTTACCATTCTTAAATCTTAATTAATGGTACTCATTCAATCTTAATATAAGACCCATTTAACTAATTTAATTAGATTAAAGAAGTTAGGTAAATTAATTAATTATAAGAATTGGGTAAAACACGTTTTTTTTAAAACACCATAATAATCTTTCTTAATACCCCTTTTCCCTCTTATACTTGATTATAATTGAGAGAGTATTCATAGGGGTAATTTAGAGAAAATTGATAAATATGAGAAATGGATCTTATATTTAGAACCAAAACCAATATAACAACTGGGTCCTAAATTAAAGACCGGAGGAGTATTTGATACTCCTAAACTTGTAGAAAATATCCGATCTTCCAATCCTGTCATCCATTAAAATTAAATACCATAATAAAGTAGAGTTCATGATAATATAAAACATGCCAAGAATTTGTCGTGGTTATGGAAACTAAGACATCTTTATCTTATATTCGTGATCAAATAGGATTTTAAGACCCTGCCTTCTGATTAATTTGAAACAGCAAACTTACCACTCGGTTATATGTTTACTCTTTTTTTCCACCGCACTAAGCAGCTTAGAATAATTCAAAGCAATCTTTAATAAGATGCTCAATAATGGATCCTGATTGAGAATGTAACGCAGTAAATTGAGGAGCAGGATGGTCAATTTATTAACTCAGATTAATTTAGGTAATAATGCACTAATAGGAGCCATTATGATTAGGAGTACATGTGAGAAAAAAGAAGGCAATAAGTCAGTGCTTAAAGATTGACTTTAATTTTTCACACCACATCATTGTTTCTTTCAGGTTAAATGTTTTAACAACAAGCCGTGGAAAAAATGCCAACCACTGTTGAAAAATTATTAGACTACGAGACATGGTATTGTATATAAAGCTATACTACAGCTAAGTGTCTGTATATGCGGTTCCTAAAAAAGTATTCAAATTATTACTAAGTGTCTGATTGATAACCCAACAGCTACAATAATAAGTTGATTTAGAACACCCCTCACCCAACATAATAATGAAGCGTTTGATTATACAGTTTGAACGAGAAAGCAACACCATCACTATCCTTCGTAAAGTGACCTTTAATGAAAGGCCTGTGAGGGAATAATAATTGGGGTTGGAATTTTTTTTCCCCAAAGTGTGCGCAAAGCTGCACGAGACGAGTCCACTTCAATGACCAACACATTTATATAAAAACCACAGATAATTCTAATAAACTGCGCTTATCCAAAGTATCAGTCACAATAATAAAGATACGAACGTTACGTTAAACAACGCTGATAAGAACGTGACGAACCTTACATAATTTCATGATATATATGGACATATATTTGAATGGTCCCTGTTTCTTTTTATTTATTTTTTACCAAACAGTAACATGAATAAAATGAGTGCATTTGATGAATCCCCTCTGTACCTTTTTATTATTTCTTTCCCTAGCTTTTAAATATTTTTTAGCTCCGGAAATTATATATATGTTAATTGTCCTAGTTATAGTTAACACTATCCAGTTGTAAATGGCAAAGCGAGATACAATCAATCATGGGGTTTCTTTTTGTCCTTATAATTCTTGCCTTTTAATAAAGTGTCATCCTTTGCTGATTTTATAACAGTTTTATATCATTAATTCTGGGGCCCCATCCCCATGTATCGTCCACTCATTCGTCTAAATATAATACAATAAGATCGCTCTCAGATTAATTATTTTGAATATAAATATATGAAGGTTTATATATATAAACATACGAACAGGGAATCAATCGACTGCGCCAACAGGTGAGATACAAATGTACAGTTAATTAGTTTAAGTGACTCTTATTATAGGCAAACAAAAACATTAATCTAAAGCACTGCAGATTCCAGGCTCGATGAACAAACTTAAAAATGCTTCAAGAGAATAAGGCGCCGCTAAAATTTAAAAAAAAAAAAAAAAACTAAAATGTCTCAACCTCATATGGTTTCCTGCTAGTAATATAATCTCACTGGTCCCATCAGGTCCCAAGCTTTCTCTGATCAAAACCCCACCACTTTTAATACCACTGAAGGACTCTGGTCCCAACAAACGCCCCCTAAAATGTCGTTGGCCTGCCTTAAATACGCTCCGGCTTCTGCAAATATATATACTCCTCCGGTCCTCCTTAATATAGGACCTAATTATTGAGTTGGTTTTGATCCTAAATATAAGACCCATTTCTCATGTTTATCAATTTTCTCTAAATTACCCCTATAGATACTCCATCAACCATAATCAAGTAGAAGATAGAGAGGGGTATTAAGAAAAATGATTATGGTATTTTAGGAAAAACATGTCACAATTTTTATAATTAACTAACTTACCTAACTTCCTTAATCTAATCAAATTAGTTAAATGGGTCCTATATTAAGGACTGGAGGAGTATATATATAGTGTATATATATAATCTCTATCACTGAAACAAAAGATCATGTAGTTATAGGATTGAAAAAGATAAGCATTGTGAGGCTGCTTCCAGAAAAGTTGAGGGAAGGGTGGTGGCGTGAGGTTCGCATTCACGTTCACAATATACACGTAATATACATACATATACATATATATATATATATATATATATATATACACTATATAGTTGTCTTCACGAGCTTCATGGGCACCCCGTGGGATTTTGGGAATATATGGGCACTATGCCCCTCCCACTTTGTCTCTTTTTAATAAGATAGGGCTTCTGTTGCTTTCACTTACTCAACCTTTAACCATATCCTTCCATAGTGAAAGGCCTTCTTTATTATGATAAAATAATGTAAGTAAGTGATTCTGGTTAAAACGTCACATGGCATCTTCACAATCCATTTCACGTTTCACCCACGTACGCTGAGTTGTGTTAGAGTAGAGAGTTCTTTTTAATAGCAAGTTTAATTTAAAGGCGGTCTCCGATATTTGACGGCTTTAAAAAACTTACATTTATAAGGAATTTATATCATTTGCTAATGTGAAGATATATACACAGAATCATTAAAAAAATAAACAAATAAAACAGAGATGATTTAAAGGGAGCTTGCTTGCACTTTGAATGCGTGGCTTTTTTGGTTTGGACCCGTGCCACCGATTAACACCGAAAGTAATATATGAAAGCCACACTCGGTTTTGTACGTATAGGCGCTCTTCTTTCTTAAAGATAATATACTTATTTGGTTCTTAATATAAGACCTATTTAACTAATTTGATTGAATTAAGGAAGTTAGGTAAGTTAGTTAATTATGAGAAATGTGACATGTTTTTCCTGAAACACCATAATCATTTTTCTTAATACTTTATCTTCTTCTTCTACTTAATTATGGTTAAAGGAGTTTCTATAGGGATAATTTAGAGAAAATTGATAAATATGAGAAATGTATCTTATATTTATGATCAAAACCAACTCAACAATTAGATCTTATATTAAGGACCGGAAGAGTATATAGATTTTGTGTTTCGTGCTTCCTACGGCAAAATGCCTCTAGAGGCTTTAATTATTTTATATATATGTATATATATTCAGGTTACTTCAACCTTGTTATATTATAAAATATAGCTTGCTCACTTAATCTAGCAAGCCGCGTCAGTGAATAAATTCAAAATCTCAAACAATGATCGGCCATTGTCAATTACAAAAAGCCTTGGATTCTTCCTTCTTGTCAAGGAGCGTTGAGATATACATTTCATTATTTATAAATTTTCTTCATCAACTCGCACAAGTAATTATCATGTGAACGCTGTGTGTGTTTGTGTGAAACGATCCCACAGATTGCTGCTGGCACGTTGTGCTTAATTTGATTAGGAAGAAAGAAGAAAAATGACTAAAAAAAAAGGTATTTTGGCTCTTGCAATACTGAATTATTGGCCTTATCTAACAATTAGAAATAATGACATAAATTTTAGCTGAGATAACAGGAACAGGAAGCGAACAGGTGAAGAACAGAGTGTGTACATGGGAAATTTGAGGACGCACAAATTAAGATCTCTCATAGCTGTACATGAAGCACATGAAAAATATAGGTAACCAAAGTCAAAACAAGTGTGGGCCAAAACCAAAGAGATTCCAGTATTTGTAATTATTATACTCTTCCGGTCCTAATTATAAGACCCAATTGACTTATTTGAGGAAATTAAGGAAGTAAGTTAAGTTGGTTATTTATAATAAATAAGTGTTGTCATTCCTAAAATATCCTTGCTAATTAAGTATATTGGCTAAAACTATCATTATTAGAAGGATTATCTTGGAAAAAAATACATAAATATAAGAGATAAAATGGATTGGGTCTTATAATTAGGACCAAATAAAAAGTCAAATTGGGTCTTATAATAAGGACCGGAGGAGTATATATAGATGTCCCACAGGCACATTGAGAAACACATGAATTTGGCTTCCCTTTTGATTTTCTGGAGAATTCGTCTCACTGTTCATGTATTATTGTTTTGCTTTGAATTTTTTAATGATAAATTATAGTCTTGGTTTAAAGAATGCAAAAGATTTTGAAAGGAAAGGAAAATTAGCCTATAATATAATCGTAGTCGAGTGGAGACTTGTCCATCCTACAGAAACCAAGAAAGAAGGTTGGCAAAAGAAAAAAGGAAAGAAACTAAGAGGGAAGAAAAAACAGGGTGAGTCCGGAATCAATTATGGAGTGACACGTAGACGACATGAATTGGTGTCGGTGAGTTGGCCTTCACCACGAAAAGACGGTTTTGGATCACTTCCCCACTGGTAGTCATCCAAAGCCAAAACAAACATCTTTTCCCCAACAAAATGAAACACACACTTTCATTACCCCTAGCTTGTTTATGTTTTCACGTTATCATGGCCAATTCGAAGAGATACAGTGATACTAGTAAATTAGTCTGGTTAATTTGAAAAAAGAAGAAGAGATCTTGCTCATGAAAGAGAAAGAGAAGTCGATAAATTGAAATCCCCTGTTCAAAAGAGGATGATCCTTACTTAATGGGCAAGTTGCAAGGTTGGCAAATGTCTTTGTGGGGATACGAGTGGGTTACCATTAATAAATGGTAAAGTGAATGAGCATGAACTTGGTTGGCTCAATTCTGAGATCATTCCTCCATTTCATTTATAGAACTACTAAAACACAAACACATTGTACGCCATCACTGCCCTTTCTTGGTTTTAAAAATAAACCTTCACTCAACTTTACAGCCTACAAAGTCAAGATCAGTAGAAGTAGTGGTAGTGCTGAAGAGGGCACGTCCCAAAAGGCCTTGTTTCGGGGGAAGAGAAAGACAAGGGCGCGTAATCAAGACGTTTTGTTACCTTTTTCTTTAAAAGATGGAATTTTCCGAAAATTAATGCATCCTCTTTCTTATTAATTACCAACACGGACACTGCCTCAAGCCTAAAAGTTCAGCACCACATGCCCCTCCATCCTCCCCTTCCTCCCATTTTCTTTTCCATTTTCCTTCGCTTTACCTTTTCTCGCATCTGGGTTCTTCTCCAGGAAGCAACTCTAATCTAATCTATATGAGCGCGTTTTAATGCTCCCTGACACATCCAGCATCAATGGCTGATCTAGCTATGCCCTAATTTTCAATATAATTAATTAATTGACCAGCAATGGACATCTTGGAAAAAGGACCAAAGTCAAGGGTCCAGAAGCAAGAGAGGGTTTAATTTGGGATGCGTGGTCAAATTTCACTGTCAGCTACTCATCTCTACTCCGCTCACACTGCTCCACATACAAAGCTACAAAAATATAATCCCAACATGAACATGTACAAGTATTACAACAAAACTGATCGAATCACACGGTGACCATAGGCGTGAATTTAAAAGTTTTTTTTTTGGGGGTTTATTTTCACCCTTATTTATTTTCTTTTCTCAGGACTGTCTATCTGCTTTGCTAACAATCTCTATAAACAGAAGAATCTATGTGAGAGGAACATAATTGTTTCGTAATAACAGAATTTAACTCACGATTACTCGTACCACGTTGAATTATGGGATGATCCCACAATGACGGAAAAGCAACCGAGTTGCGGCGTCCGAGTGAGGTCGCGTCCGGTATCGACTCGGGCGCTGTGATCAAATCGACGCTCTTCAACACAAACCCGTTGTTGACGAGTTGACTCAATATTGCTGACTCGGACACCAAGTTCTTCCTCTTGTGTTGCGTCGCGGCTCGAACGATCCCTATCAACATCGCATTCGATAATCTCCGAATTCCACGCTCGCCGCCCATTACGACGGCAGAGTCAACCGGGCGGTTAGACTGAGTTTTTTCAGGGGTCTTCTTACTGTGTTTACTGTCCGGTACAGAGTACATAAAAACGGACTCGGAGCTCCGATTCCTGACTCGTCCCAGTGGGTCGCTTGTAACCACCAGATTCTTCGCGTCCACGAGCATTACGTGCTTGAAGTTCCGCCTGACTCGGCCCAGTAACATGGGATAACATGCCCATCTTCGCAATTTTAAAGGAACATGATCTAGAAAACCGGCGAGCGAGTTTTCCGGGTCGAGTTCAGTGGCGTCGAAGCTGAGAACCGACCCGTAACTCAACTGAGCCGCCTCTTTGCTGCCCTCCTCTGCTTCTGGTCTTGTGATATTGCCTCGGGATTTCTTCCCCCACAGTGGCTCCCCAGTTACCTTTCCCTTCTTTCCAACCTTAAAAAACCGAGCACCGTCGAAATTCGACTCCGGCTTCTTCTTAAGGCTCGGGTCCGTCGGGTTCAATTCTGTATAATGGTCAATGAGAGACAAGAACAAGTCGTTCTCTTGCTGAATAATGGAGCCGAAGCTCGAAGACGAAGAAGCAGAAGCGAAGATGAAAACGACATCTGCTCTAGCAGTGAGACCAGACCGGTGCAGAACTCTGAGAAACAAACGGAGCTCATCGTCGGTGGTGTCTTCAACCACGTGAGCCACAACGAGATCACTCATGGCTCTGGTTCCTCTTCGATACAGGGTACCCATTCGTTGTAGAGCAGTTGAAGGGAAAGAATACTCGATCTTTGATGCTTCGTACGATTTGGGTTTCCACCACATTTGGGGTAACCAATTGTGGATTTTGGATTTCGAAGTGGGATTGTTGGGAATATTGCGAATGGTGGGAGGTTTCTGAGATAGGAATCGACGAGGGGGGTTATGCATAAGGGTATTGCGGGGAGAAGGATTAGAGGGTTCGAAGGTGGACAGAGTGAAGAGAAGAAGAGTGATGAAGATGAAAAGCGCACAGATTGAAATGGTGGATTGAGCTTTAGAGAGGAGGAAACTGGAATTTCTTCTTCTGAAGGAGGAACCAGGTGATCTAGAGGGTGAAGGTGAAGAAGAAGAAGATGATGAAGATGAAGCAATAGAGGGGGAAGAGAAAAGCTTGCTCTTGTCGGCAATGGCAGAATCGTCTTCAGGGAAGAAGACTACCAGAAGACCCATGTTCCTGCTAGTGTTATCGGCAGTGCTGGCGTTACTGCCAGACTTCGCCTTTATTTTCGCCAGTAAACCCATATTCGTCTCTGCTTTGCTCTGTGGCTGTCAAAAACGCTGCGAAGCTTTTAACTTGCTCTGTTTTTTGGACGCTTTGGAAACGATAACGAAGAAGAGTTATGACGCCCTTCGGCGATCCGGTTGTTTGCTTCGCCGTCTATGTTCTATTTGCCCACAACGTTGTTGTCGTTCTTTGTTCCTTTATTATGATATTAGGAAAATGTACATTTGTATAGCCGTATTCCATATATAGGCTAACGTCGATATAAAACTATGAATGCGTGATCTATCTAGTTTTCAAAATCTTGACCCCAAAATATTTATATTGATAAATTTTAAATTTTTATTTTGTTAGCGCTGACTCGTTATAATTGATTTATTTTTTTAAAAAAACCCACGCACAGTGACCTTTTGAGACCGACACGAGATATGTTAATTCTACAAAACTTGATGATATATAAGATTATGTTTTATGATAAATATGGATTGATAACGATTACTGAAGATTTTCTATCTTGTTCTTTAGTATAATTCTGAGCTTTTAATTTTTTATAATGTTTTGAAATTTTAAATCGTTTACATGTTTTTCAGTAGTGTTAACCGTGTACTGATAGGATTAGTAACATCAGCACAAATATTTAGAAAAATTTGCCCGTGGGCACCTCCGTGCCTACGTTAAGAATTAATGGATTGCCGTTACCCATATTTTCATGCATTAAAAAGTTAGTACTCTAAAATACTCTCCTTGTTAACTTAGTTTTTAAATTAACCTTATTAATATTTTTTCAATAATAATTAAATAGGATAGGAACAGAGGGTGTTAGTTAATGAAGATTTTTAGGATATTTTAAAAAGTTAAAAGAACGTATCATGTTAACTACTATCATTAATCTACTCAAATTAATTAATTAGATTATATATTAAGGATCAGAAGAGTAATTTATATAAAAGTTAAGATGCGTCCAGTACCATTAAATTTTTTTCCGTAAATGCATCCAGCACCATGAAATATTTTGTAATACATCTAGTTTTTTTTTTTTTTTTGCCTTGGCATTGAATGCAAACAAAAATATTTTGGAATGCGTCTACTATAAGCATTTTAAGAAATACTCTATGATGTTAAATGCATTAAAAAATATTTTAAAGTACTAGATGTATTTAAAAAAATATTTCAGAATATTAACTATTAAGTATATCATAAAATATTTTGAGGCACAGAAATGCACCCGGAAAAAGTCGGTGCTTCATGCACCTCCTCCCTTCGTGTAACATTAGACATTTAGACAATTAGCTCTTCAAATATGTATTCATGAACAGCTGTCTCTGATATTATTTATTGCCGTTAAATAGGTCGGGTCTATTAGCTCATCAACCAAGTTAATTTGAACTCATAATGAGGATGCCCTCGGGCAACTATGCTATATCACGTAAACATAACTGTATATTTTTAGTTAAAAACAAATATCAATCACAGTGATCAGTCCTTTATAGATTCTGATCACTTGATAATTGTGCTTTTCAAAGGTAATCAGCTGAAATTTTGCTGAAGAAAGGGTCCATCAGCTGAAAATTTTACTCCAATTAAATTGCATTTTACTCCTTTCCAGATGAAAAGGTGGTCCAGTAGAGTTCAATTTTGATCCATGACTCCACAACAACAACCCCCAAACCTATAATAAAAAGTAAAAAAAAAAAAAAACAAACACCCAGGCGGGTGTTGCATGCAGTAAGTCAAATGGAAAATAAAATCTTAAGCCTCACACCACGGCACCATGCTAGCAGATCGCTAAACGTATAAGTTCCTATTTATCTATGATTAAAATCATTTATAAACACGTTTCGTATAAATTAAAATAAAACGCTCCTCGTATACTTATTTTATATTTTATAAATAATAATAAAAAAAAACTGTTTATAAGTCATTATAGTATAGACGGAATACATTTAGCATAACACGCTCTTTTTTTGCCCCGCCAAATATTAACACGATCGTCAGTTCATTATTTTTAATTGAGCTTTTAAATTTGGAAAAGTTCAACTTAATGTACTAAAATACTACTCTTCCGATTCTAAATATAAGATATATTTTGTAGTATAATTATTTAGAACCGGAGTAGTACTACATTATTAAATATACACTACAAGAGACGGAATTTATATCCAACACAAAATGTCAATTATTAGCGTGTAAGCTCACTTCAGTGACGTAGAAGAATTGACGGAGGCTTGTTTCGAGTTCTTGACTGCCCATGCAAATTTTCGTGTGCTGTTGGAGGCTGACATAAAGAAAAATTTAAAGGAAAATTTTATCGGACTGCTATAAGACCGGCTATGTTGTATGGTAGTGAATGTTGGGCAATAAAGGGAAAACAAGAGCGCAAAGTTGGGGTAGCAGAAATGAGGATGTTGAGATGGATGTGTGGTCGTACAAGAAAATATAGGATTCGAAATGAAAATATCAGAACAAGAGTCGGTGTGGCACCTATCCAAGAGAAAATGGTTGAAAATCGCTTAAGATGGTTTGGACATGTGCAGAGAAGGCCATTGGAGGCCCCGATGAGGAGGGTGGATCAAACAAGATGGAGTCCTATAAAAAAGAACAGATGAAGACCAAGAAGAACGCTTAATGAGGTCATTGAACGAGACCTCCTAGTCAACAACATATCTAAGGATTGGGTTATTGACAGAGCACGATGGCGTCGTGTAATTCATGTAGCTGACCCCACCTAGTGAGATAATGCTTGTTGTTGTTGTTGTTGTTGGAGGCTGACATAGTGCTTTTGGAGGGCAAAATTTTGGCGGATGAAGGGACGTCATTACCATAATAGCGTGTGCTTATCGAACGAGTTCGGGTACGTTAACAATGAATCGTTTTTTTGCGCCGAAATAGATCAGATATGCCACTATTCTTATTATAAAAAGCTAAATACACATGAATATTAAAACAATTAGTTAAATTAGTTATTTGTTACATATGTATGTTAATTTTTGCTCAAAAAAAAAAGTTATATGTGTATGTTAATATTTTTAAACTATTCTCTTTAATTATGTATATTGGATGATTGGAAGAAGTTTTTTTTATAATTCTTAGGGATATTTAGGGAACACAATGAATTGAAATCTTTTGTTTAAAAACACATTTAATTCACTGTGTCATCGTTAATAAAATTTTTAATTATTATTTTCTGATACTAAAGTATTACCTTTCACTTTAAATATATGGCCTATTTTTGTAAGGGAAAAAGACAGAAAAGTGCTAACTTAACTTCAGAATGACCAGAACGTCCGCTGAATTTGTAAAATGCTATTTTGGTCACATGAGACCAATTTGGCATTATCGTGTCAAATAAAAAGACCAAATTGCCCTTCCTTTTAAATATTGTTTTTAAAGTATTACAGCCCCACTGCCCGGCCGGTCGCTGGAGCTCCGACGACCTGCCGACAATTGGTCACCGGAGCTCCGTCAGTCAGAATTTTTTTTTTGAAAATTTTTACAACTTCAGTATAACGGTTAACAACTTTTGTAACGCTATTAACAACTTCAGTATAACAGTTAACAACAGGTTTTTTAGAAAATTCAACAAGCTCTGACGGCCGGAAATAAATTTTTTGAAATTTTTTACAATTTCAGCGTAATAGTTAACAACTTTTGTAATGCTATTAACAATTTCAGTATAGCGGTTAACAACAGGTTTTTGGGGAAATTCAATAATTGGATGCCGGAGCTCCGGCGGTCAGAAACAATTTTCTTAAAAATTTTTACAACTTCGGTATAACGGTTAACAACTTTTGAAATGTTATTAACAACAAATTTTCTGAAAAATTCAACAAGTTTCGATGGGCGGAAATAATTTTTTTGAAAATTTTTATAACTTTAATATAACGGTTAACAACTTTTGTAACGCTATTAACAACTTAAGTATAGCGGTTAACAATAGATTTTTCAAGAAATCCAAAAAATAACATTTTTACAATTTCAATAATGCCATTAACAAACTCAAAAACTTGTTGTTAACTGTTATATCAAAGTTATTAATAGAGATGCAAAAGTTGTTAACCATTATACTAAAGTTGTAAAAAATTTAAAAAAATAGTTGTTAAAGTTATAAAAATACCATTTTTTTTAATTTTTAAGAAAACCTGTTGTTGAATGTTATACTAAAGTTGTTGATAGAGTTACAAAACTTGTTAACGACATTATTGAAGTTGTAAAAATGCTACTTTTTGAATTTTTTTGAAAAACTTATTGTTAACTGCTATATTGAAGTTGTTAATAACATTACAAAAATTGTTAACCGTTATACTGAAATTATAAAAATTTAAAAAAAAAAAATTGTTTCCAGCCACTGGAGCTCTAGCGACCAATTGTTGAATTTTTTGAAAAACCTGTTGTTAACCGCTATATTGAAATTGTTAATAGTGTTATAAAAGTTGTTAACCGTTATACTAAAGTTGTAAAAATTTTCAAAAAAATTGTTTCCAGCCGTCAGAGCTCCGGCGACCAATTGTTGAATTTTCCCAAAAACCTGTTGTTAACTGTTATACTGAAATTGTTAATAGCGTTACAAAAGTTGTAAAAATTTTCAAAAAAAATTGTTCGGCTGTTGGAGCTCCGGTGTCCAATTGTTGAATTTCTCCAAAAACCTATTGTTAATCGTTATACTTAAGTTGTTAATAGCATTACAAAAGTTGTTAACTGTTATACTGAAATTGTAAAAATTTTCAAAAAATGACGGAGCTCTGGCGACCAATTGCTAAATTTCTCAAAAAATTTATTGTTAGCCGCTATACTAAAGTTGTTAATAACGTTACAAAAGTTGTTAACCGTTATATTGAAATTGTAAAAATTTTCAAAAAAATTATTTCCGGCCATCAGAGCTTGTTGAATTTCCCAGAAAACCCGTTGTTAACTGTTATATTGAAGTTGTTAATAGCGTTATAAAAGTTGTTAACCGTTATACTGAAGTTGTAAAAAATTTCAAGAAAATTGTTTCCGGACGCCGGAGCTTCGGTGTTCAATT